GAGTCCCTCCTGAGCCTTTTGCTCTTTCCCTCTTATCTGACCATTTCCTAGGCAGCAGCTCATTGCTTGGTCTCCTCAGTTCCATATAACATTACAAGTAGCATCAACCTTACAAGGTGGTCCAGCTTAAGAAACCAATGCCATATAGGTCAGGACCACTTCCATTAGTATAGCTATAGTGAATTCCCACCTGAGCCATGAAAGCCAGCTGGGTTACTCTCCTTCAGCCCAAATCACCTCACCACATTATTTAAGTTACAAATAACTGAAGACCGTGAACATATTCCCACAACAACAAGGGTTGCTGTTGTGGGAAGATGTTTGCTGTCTTGAGTTATTTGTAAAAATAATAAAGGTGGGATACAAATAAATAAATCAAATTAAAAATAGAATCTTGTAAGACTGAATGTGCTTTCTCTTTGCTTCACTTTCATGAAAGCTAGAGAAGCGCTTGTCTGAGATGTTCTTCCAAATTAGTTTCTTGCTCTTGGCTGGAGCCTGGCTTATCTGATCATTGCACTACTGGCAGTCCTTCCTGCTGTTCTTCAAAGCCATTCCTCATTCCTTTACAGATAAAGAGTAGAAGAGTCTACTTTTGACTTTCTTGTCAAAATGTAAAATTAAAACTCTTAAATGTAACAATTAGTATCCAAGCCTTTTTTCTGTCTTCTCTTCATTCCTTTTTTTCTTTGAATACTGTGTTTCTTAAAATGCCATCTTAAGATCAGGGACTGTCATTTTACTTGGGCTATAAATGTTACCCAGAACTATTTGGGCTAATGATACAGATCAAAAATGTTCAAGTAAGTAACATATATTTTCCCTTACCTACTTTCAAAGCATAAAATGATGCATGTCAGGGGAAAAAACACTCATTGCATCTTCAGTTCTATCACAATAATAACCCAAAATGAAATTAGAAATATAATCTTAAACACTATGACAAGAAGCAGAAAAAGGAAAGATTGCTTTCACTGGGAATAAAACCTTAACAAGAGATTGAAAAGAGTTTTAAGCAGAGTATTTTGAGAAACCAATTATAACATTCTAGCTCAGGGGTAGTCAACCTTTTTATACCTACCGCCCACTTTTGTATCTCTGTTAGTAGTAAAAATTTCCTCTAACAGCCCACTGGTTCCACAGTAATGGTGATTTATATAGGGGACAAAACCCGTACCACCCACCATGAAAGCTGGAACGGCCCACTAGTGGGCGGTAGGTACCAGGTAGACTATCACTGTTCTAGCTGAATGGAAAAATATTTGGGATTGCTATTCATTTCATGGAGATAATTCTGAAGGCTGAAGCATAATGGGCAAAGAAGAAGTCCAGTGAATTCTCTCCTCTCTTGAAATAGGAAGAAAAACTGAATGTGCAATGAGACATGATAATTAACTGTCTAAAACTAATAGTGTTCCTCTGTTTCAGACCATGACATAATAGATATAAATGGTAATTCAGTCAGGATTAGCAATGTGTTCCAGTCTCAGACTGCAGTTTTGATGACCTGCAGATGAATGTTTTTTGTGACATGAAACTTGCCAGAAGAGGATGATAACTTGAATGCTCTACTCTGATTTTTAATGAGCTCTGTTTATCCTCTAATCCAAATTAGTATTGTAGTTTTGCCAAGAGACCCTAGTTTTTTTTCCATCTTGTTGATTGCTGTTTTCATTCCTTTAAGTGTCGTATGAATGTTTGTTATATTTCACTTCCAATTAAAATATATAAATATTGGTTATACTCAATAAAATATTAAAACTAGACATATCATCTGTGAGAAGGCATCAATTGACAGAAAACGATGCCATGCAGAAGTTTGCTTATAGACTGCTTTGGGGGAGACTGGTCCTCTCTGTTTGATTGAAATCATCACTCAATTCAAGATTTATCTTCTTGAATTGAGTGATGATTTCAATCAAACAGATTTATCTTCTGACACTTCCGGTTGTCGGCTTTGCTGACAGCAGGGATTCGCCTTCTCTGCGATTCCTGCTGTGCTAGCCGCCTTGGTGCCTCCGATCCTGACGGATTTGGAGGCTAAGGCTGCCCTGTTGGGGCAGCTGAAGAGAGGGGGGATCCGGACGGGGGTGAGGGGCAACGCAACCCCCCCCCCCAGCCGGCAATAACCCCCTTTTCTCAAGACGGTTCCAGCGGTGGTCTTTTTATGGCCACCATAAAGAAGCCGGCAATTGAATAAAGAATGCGCAGGAGGGAGAAGGAGTTTTCTTTTTCTTTTTTAAAGAAAGTTTTTTCTTGGTCGAATTGGGACCTTAAGGATATATTTAACACCTGGGAAAGTAATGACTTGGAAGCTATTGTTCCCGATTGATGTTTTCAGCTGCGAAGAAAAGTGACGAAAAGGGGAAGTTACTCTCCCTCCCCTATGGAATTAACAAATGGACAAGGGAAACCAGCCTTTTGGTAGAAGGTAAAACCTAAACTCCTTTGTTATAAGTGGGAAGGGAGAGGCTTGGGAAAACAAATTTTTACTCTAAGACTTTGCTGGAGGAGATGCCTTGAAGATAAAGAGAATTTTCTTTCCCTAATTTGACTTCACCCCTAGAAGAGAAACTGTAAAAATAAGAAGCTTCTACTCTGCCTGGACTGTTTGATGACTGTGGGACTTTGGGACTTTTGGGAACTGTTTTAAGCCTTGAAATAACTGATTGGTTTAAGAAGAGGATACAGAAAGAGAAGAAGAAACTTTAAAATGGCTCTATCTCTTGATGAACTAAAAAAACAATATCTAAAAACAAAGAAAGAAGGCAAAGATGTTATGGGAGAAGCCCTTTGTTTCCTAGATATGGCGCTTGCTATGTGTCAGCAAATTAAACAACAGCTGGAAGAAATCGAGGAAGAAGAAGCCATTTTTAATGAACTAAAAGGTGTGACTAAGAAAGAAAGGAGAAAGAGAGGAGCGAAAAGGAAGGACTTAAGAAATAAAAAAACATTTATGAAAGAGAAAAAGAAGATGCAAAAACAACAGAATGCTAGAAAGCAAAAGGAAAGAGGAATGCAGAAAGGTGAAATTAAGAAGGCAGAGGTTTTGAGAGGAGGGGGTAAAAAGTTTAGGCGGGCTAAGAAGGAAAGGGAAAACGGGGAAAATAGTTACAAAGATATAAGACAAGATGGAGATAAGGAAATTTTTTTCAGGGATAATGGGTAATATATGGGTTTTTTTTAAAAAAAAGGGGGGGATTCTGCAAAGTACACATGAGTATTGTAATAGTGGTATTTGTATTATAAGTAGATAACCAGAACTTTTTAAGATCTAATAAAAGGCTAAAATATCAAGTTATAACTTTAAAAGGTTTAATAATGAATGATAATAAGTCTTAATAAAATACTAAAGGGAATGTTTAAAATATTAGTTTGAATTTATAGTTTAATGGATTAATGTGTTGATTGTTATGGATTTATTATTGTAGTATTGGTTTTTGAAATAGTAGAATGTTCTAAGCAGAATCTGATTGGGATTTAGGTGTTATTTTAAATTTTAACTTAGGGGAATGATAGAAAGGCATCATACTCCGATTAGTGATTCCAGGGGAAACTATTCTTTCTTAAATTGGAAATGAGACAGATGTAAATGGAGAAATGGACAAAAGATATAAAAAATTTTTTTTTAAAAAAAGCAAGATTAAATATATAAAACAGAATTAAGATGAGGCAAAAGTGGAGAGGAGTTATATAATAGATATAGAATGGTAAATAAGATGGGTAATGGTATATAAGAAAAGCGTGAATACAACTGAGTCCATACAAAAAGAGGTAATCTGGGGCCAAGTTACTTTCTTGAAGAAAGCTTTATGTTTTTTATGTCTGTGTTTTATGTGTGTGTGTTTAATTAAGAATTAAATAATAAAATCTCGGAAGAAGACTAGATGAGAATAATTATAAACAAGCCAGAGGGAAATATAAAGTTGATGACTGGATAGCAGATAAATCAGAAAGGAAATATGATTGAATAATGATTAAAGAGAAACAATGTGGAATTTGGTAAAGGGAATTTACGTGTTTATATGGAAATGGGATAAATTATAAGTATGTGATATAAAGCAATATGTTACCTGCCTTGTAAGGATCTACAATGGAAAGAGGTTTTTATGTTTTTAATGTTTAATGATGTTTTGTCTTGTTTGTTTGTTTGTAAAATCAATAAAACTTGTTTTTTTTTAAAAAAAAAAGATTTATCTTCTGTCCATGTGAATAGGATCTTGTTTTAAGCTTGTGTATTGATGATTACTACTATCTCCAAGCACACTTATACAATATCCATAGTTAGCTTCTAGTTTTCACTGTGTGCATTTGTTGCTGAGAAATCCTATCAATAGAAAATTCTACAGATGTGATTATGTACTTCATATTAGAAATTCTGTTTGCTCCATGTACACAATTGGGAGCACAGTGAGGGGAACATTCTACTAGAACCTCAGTCTTCCGATCCAACAGTAAATAAAAATGATTTGAGCTAAGGCTAATCTATATGGAAATGTTGCTTTGCTCTACACATTGCCAGGAAATGCTCACACACTAATTGTGTAAAACAGTTCCTGATGAGAAAGAACATACAGATTTCTCATCTTTCTTTCTTTAATCTCAGGATATGTAATGCTCATGGGGGGGAAACCACATCAATCCTAGTTCTGTTATACATTGATATGGTGTGAAATATAGTTCTTCATCTAGTTCTGTTTGGTCTTGCTCTAGTTACAAATTGTATTTCAAGTATAGGAAATGTTCTCGGTCCTTAAACCAAACTAAGTCCATTTTTGTTTTTCCATATCACACTCACCTAAAATAATCAGCATTATTTGTAGTAATAGAAAATATATTATTTAAACAGAAAAAGATAGAGTGAGATTTATGTTCTAGTAGGACTATGCTAATTCATTAATTCTGTAAAATTAATGTTTCAGTTTCTCAGTTGTAGGTCTTTGCTTATAAGTAGTTGTAAACTGGTGTCAAAAATCTGTTTTTGCTTTTTCTTTCTTAAGGGTCGCAAGAGAGAGGCAGAAAGATATTTCTTAAAGGCAATTCAGTTGGATCCTTTGAAGGGAAACTGTTATATGCATTATGGTAAGTAAGTTTGCCAATAAATTCGTTCCTTTGGATTCTATTTTATTGTACAAAATTCTTTATGAATGAATGTGTTTTTTTATTTTATTTTAAAGTACTGGCAGAGTATTATCTGAATAATCCACTGAGGCCTATATGGCCAGTGGCATGGCCATCAGTTCCCAAGGAGATACCAGTTGCCATTTTTCATCAGTAATCTATATAATGATATAGATCACATAAATGATGAACACTGGTAAATGGGACTTTTGACATCTAAAAAAAATTATTTGTGATCAATATTAATTGGAAATTAGAATGTTCTTTGTGAAGTGCACGATATTTAAGTGGGTTACTTTTACTAATTAATTTTTATTATGTATAGAAAAGTGTTTTGTAGGACTCTTATACTTTTCCACTATGCTTCAGGATGAAATCCTCCAAAAATCTTTTTGAAAGTTTAGTGAATAGCTGTAAAGCTGGGTAGAACATTTTGAGATATGTTTTGAGCTTTAAATGTATTTTCAAGCTAAAATATATAATTTATTGGTAGTTTCAGCTTTACTGCACATATTCTTTATACTATTCTGTGAATGCTGGAAGTCTTAATCTCAAAGTGGAACCACTTTAAACTAAAAATATTTACAGTACGGACATAATAGTATCAGTATCGTAATAGTATTAACTTAACTCTTCAGTTAAGTTAAAATAAAATCTTCAGTTTATTTCAAGCTTGAAATAAGGAATTTCAAGTTCAAAACATTTCAAATAAAATATTTTGTAAAGAACTATCAGGCTTCATTTATGATTGAAAGCTCTTTAAAATCAATTACCTTGCAAGGACAAATAGATGTACATTTGGGGTCTTGCCCTGGCATAACTATTATGGAAGGATGCACAGAAGTAGACAATTAGAATTTAGGCCACTAAATTCTAATCAGCATGTATATGTTTCTGTGAGTGTGAATGTGTGAGTGTAATAGTCCGTTGGTTATTTCTGATAGGTTTTTGACATATGGCAGTATTATCCTTTTCATAACTTCTGTTGGTTGTGCTACATTAGGTTGCGTGCTCAGGAACTTTTTACTAAAGCTGTGTGTCTTTTCATTTTGTTGGAAGATATTGTACAGGTAGCCTGTTTCCTTTTTCTAGTGTTCCAAGTTACTGCAGTGTATTTGTGCTTATCTGAATCACATTCTTACAGAGATCTTCTTATGACAGGTTGTTACTTTGATAAAGGAGCACTAATTCCATGTTTCTGCTGCTGATTTTATCTGATTCCATAGCTTGATAACAGTTTTGAAACATTTAGCACTGCTACTGCTAACAGTATATTCCCAGATTGTTTAGTATGATTCAGTATGTTCATAGAACCTTATAAGATAGTCCTTGACTTACAGCCATTTGTTTAATAACTGTTTAAAGTTACACTACTACTGAGAAAAGTGACATGACTGGTCCTTGCACTCATGACTGTCATAGCATTCCCGCAATCATGCGATCAACATTCAACTGCTAGGCAACCCGCATGTTTACAATGGTTGCAGCATCCTGGGCTCATGTGATCACCATTTATGACCTCCCAGCTGGCTTCCTATAAGCATAGTCATTGGGGAACCAGATTCACTTAATAACTTCAGTTGGCAAAAAATCAAGTGCAACCCACTAAACAATGGCCTTGCATAGCAGTGAAAATTCTGTTCCCAATTATGGTCATAAATTGAGAACTACCGTTAGATTTTATTCTTTTTAGTATACTGCAACAGACACAAAACAATGACAGAAAAGTTCTGCCAAATAACACTCTTTATAATAATAACCGCTGAGATTTCAAGTTAATTTCCTTTGAATAATACATTTTCCTAATAATTGCAAAGCATGTAATATTTCTGTGTTATAATAAAATTTATTATTTGCAATAAATGACTGTAATTATGCACTCACTTGATATAATTTACAACTGATCATGTAGCGTGTTGTTCTCTAGCTGAACCTGCAGAGTTTTTCTTTGTTAATGTTTTTAATTTTCTTCTTAGTTCATTTTGGTTAACATAGCATGCAGTTAATAATTCACAATGCAAATTGTTCTCTTATTGTAAGTTTAACTGGATCAGAATGATCTTAGAATGCTGAGAGTATTTTGGCATATTTTGTAATGCTTTGAAAAGAAACTAGACCAAATTAAAATTAATCAGTAGTTAATTGCTGTCCTCCAACTTGTCAACAAGCATAATGTTTTGTTCAGTTGTTCTAAAACTTATATTTAAGTTACAGCCACTTGAAAATTAAATAATTGTATTGCATTTTTTCCTTCTGTTCATAGAAGGTTCTTTGCTTCAGCAGAGGCTTCCCCAAATAGAATTCAGAATAAGGATGTCTTTTCCTACCCAGATTTACTCTTGGTTTTGCAGTATCCCATGCTGTTCCTTTTTGGAGCATTTTTGACAATTGGAAAGGGGGAAGGAAGAACCAACAAAAAAGGATCTTTTTTTATTTATGGAAACTATCGTTCATAGAGTGATATAGCCCTGTCAGTATTAAAGTGTAATGTATGCTGTAATTGTTAATATCTGTTTTTCAGGCCAGTTTCTGTTAGAAGAATCTCGGTTGATGGAAGCAGCAGAGATGGCCAAGAAAGCAGCTGAGTTGGATAATACAGAGTTTGATGTTGTGTTCAATGCGGCTCATATGCTTAGGTCTTTTTATTTCATTGTCTTCAGTATCACCATCAATATTTTACTACATAAAATTAACAAGTTTAATATGCGTATACTTTTTCCAGAATGAAAAAAGAAGATTACATGGCATTTCTTAGCTTCATGCTTGTATACATTGTATACATCCTGCTTTTTAAAATCATGGCTAGATCTGATTACTTTAATGAAGACAACTCACACTGGAATCCTGTGCCAATTTTGCCATTATTTCGTTTGTCATTTTTATTGAGGCTGTAACAGAGACTAATGCTTACATAGCACGTTTACTAGTAGTACATTCCATTCACTTTATATTTAAAATCAGCAGAGTTTTTTTTCCTGATAAATGAATATAGCACATGAAGATAACAAGTACAGGAGAGATTTGATGACAACTCTCAATTTTAGAACAAACAATTGCTATCCATAACATTGGGTGGTACAGTGGTTCAGGTGCTGAACTAAGTTTTAATCCTCCCTTATTCACAGAAGCCAGTTGGAGATTTTGTACCAGTTGCACCCTTTATGTTATATCAGCATCAGGCTCTGCAACCAGCCTCTAATCGCATCATGCATTGATTGTTTCACTGGGTTGAATTAAGTGAATGCAGTGCAAAACAAGTAGATCAGGAGTGTCAAACTTGCATTGTCATGTGATATCGTGACTTTTTCCCCCTTCGCTAAACCAGGTGTGGGCATGGCCAGCATGTGACACATCCGGCCACAAGTTGTCAGCCCTGAAGTAGATGATCCAACCAAGCAGAATGAATGTTAACCATCAGTAAGAATAGGCAGCCATTTTTTTGTGGGTGACCATATCATCTCTGAATTACTTATTCAACTCAATCTTTTGAGCTTGCTTTCTTAATGTTTGAAAGTTAAAAGGTAACCCAAAATAGATAGTTTATGTATCTATTCAAGAGTATCAACAATCATTCATTCCTTCCTCAGGCTCATTTTTTGTGAGTGTTTTTTTTTTCTTTTTAAAGTGAATGCAGTGCTTTCTGCGTTGACTTGCTTGCCCACAGTTGCCATAGACACATAGACTAATCTATTCAGCTATATAGAATTATGGTGTCATCCAATTCAATGGCTCTTTAGAAATAAATGATAATGTTCCTAAAGCAACACAACTTCTGGGACCATTTCTATCTTTTTGCTTCATTCTAGTGGTTTAGATATATTAAACTACTATAGTTTGCTATATCTGAAATTGGGAACTATGTTTTCATGTAACTTTAATGATTAGCATTATATTGGGGTTTAAGTTCCAATTTTAAAAGCTAAGACATGAATTAAAATTGTTTACAAGTTAATTTTTAATATAATAATAATAATAATAATAATAATAATAATAATAATAATAATAATAATAATAATAATAGTAATAATAATAATTTATTTGCGGTCACAGACCAAAACACAAGTACAACAAAAGAAGAACATGGGAAAATTAATCATGAACAATTGGTCACCAAAAACTTGACTAAGGGGAATTACAGCGTTCTCCTCTGATGGTTACAGCTCTTAAAAAAATTTGGAAACCTGAGAAGTGATGTATGAGGAGCCATCCCCTAGACAATATAAGAACAAATTACTAACATTGGGTCTAGAAGGGTCTGTTTCAAGGAGAGACAGTAACTTAGATCTGCCTGCGTTTTAAATTTGGTGCTAACAGAAATGGCTGTGAAAGTCTGACTCACAGACGAACACAATACAGAAGCCTGATGATGGCAGATGAGATTCTTCCAAAACGTTGCTACAACTTTAAAAGTACAACTATAATGACCTGGGAAAATACCCGAACAAAACTGAATGCTGTACAGGAACAGGTATATAGGACTAGGTGTGTTCGGGTCTTTTCCCGTATAAGATTAAGAGTATCTTGGCGACGTTTCGGCGAGGTCCCACTCGCCATCCTCAGGCTGGTACTTTCGGCTTCGTGCCACTGTTTGCACTGGCACGAAGCCGAAAGCACCAGCCTGAGGATGGCGAGTGGGACCTCACCGAAAGGTCGCCAAGATACTCTTAATGTTACATGGGAAAAGACCCGAACACACCTAGACCTACATACATAGATACATACATACATAGATACATACATACATACATATATATTGAAACATTCATATCATAATCAGTAGCTGGAAATGTATTTTAACTATTAATGTCAATGATTCAATTAATTTTTCACTTTCCATTACCAGATTGACTTTCACTGAACTTGCCCTTTTTTCTTCTCTCAATAGACAAGCTAGTCTCAATGAAGCAGCTGAAAAATATTACAAAATGGCCGCTGAGCTAAGACCTAATGTAAGTACTTTCTTTAAAAAATACATTACAGAGACCTTGAATTATAACAGAAAGAAAACCAATACATTTTGAAGAATTATTATAATAATGGTTTGGTCTGTAAGCATCTTTTAAAAGCAACCCACAGCAGCACTCTAATAAACCTTAACATTTGTCAACTAATTATTGTAGATTCATAGAAGGGTAAGAAAAGAAACATTGCTGTCTTAAATTTTAAAACTATTTTCATTTTATTTACCATATTTTTGTTGCATAAGACAAAAGTGGGTGGGAATGTCTGTGCATCTTATACAGCGAATGTTGCTGAAGCCCCACCCACCCACCAGCACACACCGTTCAGCCTGTGCCTCCCAGCAATTTGCCTCCTTGCTACAAACAGCAAACAGCCTGGTCAGCTTCAGCACAGACTGATTAGCACAAGCAGCTGATTGTTGGTTAGATCAGCCTCACGATGATCAGCTGTTTCAGGCTGCAGGGATCGCCAGTGCCTATTGCAGCCTCCATGCACCTCATTTTTGGCCTCCAAATCCCATTTTCAGCCTCTGCACACCCTGTTTTCAGCCTGATCCAGACGGTAGGGATCAAAACGGGTGGAAAATGGGGTGCTCAGAGGCCAAAAATGGGGCGCACGGTCAAAAACAGGATGCAGAGGCCAAAAATGGGGTGTGCAGAGGGACCAATAGGTGATGGCAATCCCTGCAGCCTGAAACAGCTGGTCGTCAGGAGGCCGATCTAACTGACAATCAACTTTTTGTGCTAATCAGGCTGTGCTGAAGCTGAACAGGCTGTTTGCTGCAAGGAGGCAAATTGCTGGAAGGCAGAGGCAGATTTTTTTTTTTCCTCCCAAAAAGCTAGGTGCGTCTTATACTTCGAAGTGTCCTATACTCCGAAAAATACAGTACATATTAAAAGCAATCAAAATGATAATAGACAAGGATTGTAAAATTATCATGGATCTAGAAAGGACTTTGGAAGTCTTCTAATGTAATTCCATGCCTGTGCAGAATTCTCAGACTAGCCCAGACAAAGGGCTGATCAAGTAGCCATGACTTCAAGAGGCAGGAAGTTCCATTGCTTAATGGCTTTCATAGTATTATTTCAATCTTGATCACTTTCCTTTCAGCCCACCCAGTGAAATTTGCCTTACCTTAAGTGTTACTAGGAATGACTACACAACTTCTTCCTTTGGCAGCTCTTTAACTATTTAAAAACTGCTGCCATGTTTCTCCTAAGCCTTTGCTTCTTTAGGCTAAAGATACCCAGATTTTTTTTTAAAATTCCTACATATGAACAAAAGCACTCTCCTTAGAGATTATACTTCATTCCTTATTATAGTCTTCACAATGGATAGTATATTTGAATATATTGGTACATGGTGTTGTATGATCGATCAAAATATTAGGGGCTTTAAACATGCTAATTAGAATAACTTTTTACTGTAAGTATTCAGTTTCATTTTGCAAAACCAGAGACTATGCTTTCATATGAAATCCTGTGTTGGAAGGAACAATATTTCTATAAAGATAGAACATTCAGGAATTGTGTTTGATGTCTGAACTTTTTAAAAAGCTATTATCTTGAAAGAAAGCTGGTGAAATTAATCACACACATGCTCTTAAAAAGTATAAACACTTTGAAGTATAACTCTGAAGTGTTAAATAAAAGCTGAGCAGATCATACATTTTCAGTCCCAACCACTGTGAGTGTCATGACCTACATCACACAATCTGACTAGTCTCATATCAGGACTGTCAAACCTGTGACAGTTTTAAGCCCTATATCTTCATCAGCTTGTCAAATGCAGCTGTTTCTGCTCTACTTATTCAAAAAGTTTTGATTAACTATTACATGTATATTAGCATAATAACACATGCGTGCAAACACTCATAATAAAAGGTCTGAATATACCTTTAGGCAAAACAAGCACAGTTCCATGGGATAATTTTACGAGGGATGGCAAGTATTTATAGATTATGGTTTCTGAGTATGTAAATGGTTTCCCTATCGTTTATGCAAAATATTTTGTTCAGAAGTCCACCAAATAAAGCATACTGCTGGTAAAAGCAAAACTTCTCTGCCATACATGGTATTTAGCTCAACAAGGAATCTTTCCTTATGCCCCAACTTTCTGGAGCATATTACCAAGAAACTATATTATTTTAAAAACTATTTAATTAGAAACACATTCTGGTCCTTCTAATAGCAATCATGTGTTGTTTTAATGGATTATAGCATAATGTAGTTTGTTACCAACCTAAGTAATTAAAAGCCTGTTGTGCTTCTTTCTAACTAAAAATACTTTAGTTTTTGCTGTGGTATATGATGGTGCAATGAAATAATGTAACCATGCAGAACTGGCTTAAACAATTTGGATTCCATTTGCACCCAGGTTAAAATACCAGATTAAGATCAGGAGAATCAAGGTTCAAATCAACCCCATCATTAAGATCATGTATAGCCACGATTCAGTCATTATGCTTGGGGGGAAAACACACCAAGCTATTTATCCTGAATCTTGGTGGATATGTGATTGTTAATAAATAAACTGCTTCTTTTGTCTGCATTAACTCTTGGTTGATACTTGGAGAAACTCAGGTTCCAATGCACTGGCAGCTGTGAAAGTTTATTAGTAACTTCAAGGCAATCAGTCTCTTTCTGCCCAACCTATTTCTTCCTAAAGAAAAGGAAGAATTTAAATTTAAGATTCTTTTTACAACTTCCCTCGTTTTGAGGCTTTCATCAGTTCTATCCAACCACATTACTATGGTCTGTCTTTTCCCATTTTGTTATTCACACCACAATCATTCTTGTATTAATGACTGAGATACTAGTTATTAATTTTTGCATTAAACACCATTCATTCTTGTTGAACCACACACACTTCTTAAATAATACCTAACCAACATTTCCCATATTTAAGACACAGTCTGCTAAGACACACAAATTAATCTACTTGTTTTAATTTTTTCTGCTTGTATACTTGCAATTTTCACTCCATTTTCCCACATATACTTGGTCTTTGATATATTAATTTATAGGTCCATATTCCTTGTTGTCTCATAGACTTTACGCTTTATTGCAAATCATTCAGATCCCCAATCAACAACATGGCCTTATTGGTATATTTTTTATTTTATTTTGATCATTATCTATTCCTGTACTATTCCAATAAAAATTCATCCAAAGATTTTTCCAAGCACATTGAAAAACTAATCCTTCTGTAATTTTTGCATTATGTCATATTTTCTTTTTATAAGAGAGTATTAATAGTATTCTTCCAAATATCAAACATAGGTACAACTTCATACACACATTAAGTTGTATCACATCCCATAAAACTACAAACTATACCTATATTTTAATATTTATCCATATGCCCCGTCTACCCTTGCAGCCATGGGTTATTTAGATAGGATTTTTTTATCCTGCCTCTATTAATCTTTTTAAAAGATGGTGAACATGTATAATATTCCTAACTCCTCTATTGTCCCACAACAACAACCCAGCCAGCTTTGATTCCTAAAGTGCAACTAGAACTCACAGTTTTCTGGTTTCTAGACCAGCACCTCAACCATTACACTAAAATGGATCTCAATATTTTGCAACATTCAGATTGGCTCTCAGTGTTTTGCAACATTCTCATAGCATCAGAAGTGGTATTCAGCAGGTTCTGACCAGTTCTTGAGAACCGGTAGTGGAAATTTTGAGTAGTTCAGAGAAACTAAAATACCACCTCTGACTGGAGATTTTACAGTACCCTTCCCTTGCCATGCCCACCAAGCCACACCCACAGAACCAGTAATAAAAAAAAATGAATCCCACCACTGCATAGCAAGTAATATTTCCTTTCATCATTCCTTTCATTGTGGTTCTATATGTTCTCTTTACATTCATTCTGTTCTATACGTTCTCTTTACACTCAGTCTGCTGTGAGAGTAATCCTTGTTTTGAGAACTGAACCTTCTCTTTATGAATTAATTCTATTTGCTCCCTAGTTTCCTACTCTTTATTTTTTTATATCCACTTTTCTTCTCATCCATTTTTGCACCCTCACAAATATTCAAATATTTCATTACCTTGTATCTTTCACTAATTATCTGAGTCTTTCATAATTAAATAAGTCATGCTTATAGGTTCATTCACTTGCCATATATACATATGATTACATGTATACATATGAGAAGATTTCTATTTGAAACAGTCACCTTACTTAGAAATGTATTATTCTCATTAATTCTTTACTCTGAGAATGGCTTGATGGAATGGAATGTGTGGAATGGAATGTGTGGATGACCTTGGAGCATGAGGGGAAGAGTTACTGCCTAGGAAACAATCAGACAAGAGACACAGGAACCCCCAATGGCTTGACGGTCAGAGAAAGAAATTAAGGAAAGAGCTGGTCTAATAGTTAAAAGGGATGGTGGGAAGTTGGTGCTTTCAGATTTTCAAGATTCTCTTAATACAGCAGTAAAATAACATAGAATTAGATCAATTAAATCATTCTGTTTTTCTCCAGTTTACCTGGGAAAGCTGACACCCAGTGATTTTTCTCTTTCCTTCCCACCATTCATGACATACAACAGTATCTCTTTGCCTCTTGTTAACTGATTATAATCATACAGTATGTTTCATGATTTCCCCATGGTCTCTGGATCATTCATAGTCATGTTCAAGGGAGCACAACAGCTGCCTATATCACCTACATATATAGTTTTCTACATTAACAAACTATAGCTATAGAACTGCACGCCAAGCCAAGCAGTTTCTCTCGACAAACGTACCTTCCTCGTGAATCTGACTAAATCATCCCCTGTTCCTTGTGAGGAGGAGCAGGAGTGCTGTCTCACAAACAGCATTGCAAACCTCCTCTATATTTTGCTCTGCTTTGCTCTCTATGTCCATAGATCAGGCAGGAGAGGCAGCTGTTTCTTGATGCAGGGGATTGTTCAGAGTAAATTCAGCGCCAGAAAAGTAAACACAGATGGCTGAGGCTTCATTTA